TATGTGCTAGAGATTTTTCTTTTGTTTTTCTATATACATCATTTTAATAGAGTCCCTTGGGGACGCCTGGGTGGCTCAGTCTGTTAAGCATCCGACTTGGGCTCAGGTCATTATGTCGCTATTCCTGAATTCAAGGCCCATGTGGAGCTCTGTGCTGACAGCTCAGAGCCTGGAGCCTGCCTCGGATTCTGTGTCTCCCGCTCTCTCTGCCCCTCTCCCGCTCAGCTCTTTGTGTCTCTGTCTCAAAAATAAATTTTAAAACACATTAAAAGTTAAAAAAAATTGATTCCCTTGTCCATGCTTCAAGCTGCTCTTTTTTTCCTTTCTGAAACTGTCACCCATCCATTTATTGTCTGTCTTAGAATGTAAGGGAACATATAACATATAAGATAAACATAATACAATAAGAAAGGAAAGATGAAAATTTTTGTTAAAAAGAGAAAGCCAATCTCCCTTTCCTGAGTGAATGGTAGTCAGTCTGTGGACACACAACATCATTGCAGTTTAGAAGTCTTATACACTAAAAAGCAAGACAAGGGGACCCTGAGTGGCTGAGTCGTTTGAGTGACCAACTCTTGATTTTGGCTGAGGTCATGATCTCAGGGGGTGGGAGCTGCTTAAGAGTTCCTCTCTCCCTCTGCCCCCTCCCCTGCTTATGCTTCATTCTCTCTCTTTCTCTGTCTCTCTCAAATAAATAAATAGCAAGACAAGATCAAAACTTGAATGTGGCCAGCATCTCTGCTCATTTGAATTTAATATTTCCAAGGTATGCCTATTTTGGTGAATGTTTCGGTTTATTGGTATGGTTTAACAAATAAATATAGAGTATTTCCTATAATTTTGTATACCTGTATTCAGAAGTTCTTTCTTTTTTGAAGCAAGAGGAACAATAAACATTTTCCCCATTGAATGCAAACTGGTGCAGCCAATGTGGAAAACAATGTGGAGGTTTCTCAAAGAATTAAAAATAGAACTACCATATGACCCAGTAATCACACTAACAGGTATTTACCCAAAGAATATGAAAACAATTATTTGAAAGGATACTTGCACCCCTGTGTTTATTGCAGCATGATTTATAATAGCCAAATTACTGAAGCAGCCCAAGTGTCCATTGATGGATAAATAGGTAAAGAAGATATGATATAGGGGCTCCTGGGTGGCTCAGTCAGTTAAGCGTCCAACTCTTGATTTCAGCTCACGTCATGATCTCATGGTTCCTGAGGTTGAGCCTGGCATTGATTTCCCCGCTTGGGATTCTCTCTCTCCCTCTCTCTCTCTGTCCCTTCCCCACTCATGCTCTCTTTCTATCTCAAAATGAATAAATAAGCTTAAAATGTTTTTTAATGTAAAAAAAAGATGTTTTGTGTGTGTGTGTGACGATGGAGTATTATTCAGCTATAAACTATAATGAAATCTTGCCACGTGTGACAACATGAAAGGGACCAGAAGGAATTAAGCTAAGTGAAATAACTCAATCAGAGAAACACAAACACCATAGGATTTCACTCACATGTATAATTTAAGAAACCAAATGAACAAAGGAAAATAAAAAAGACAAACCAAAACACAGACTCTTAATTATAGAGAATAAACAGATGGTCGTAAGAAGGGAGGGGGGTAGGGGTTGGGTAAAACAGATGAAGGGGGTTAAGAGTACACTTAGGATGAGCACTGAGTTATATACAGAATTGTAGAATCACTATATTGTACACCTGAAACTATTATAACACTGTGTTAACTATACTGGAATAAAAAATGTTTTAAAATAATAAATGATAAAAATATTAAAAGTAAAGAAAAATTCTGCAACATCTTATGGTACATTTTGGCATTCGTTAATGTCATGCATGCCAGTAGCTACTCTAATATATCCCCTCCATTTCACCGATAAGTATTTCCCTTTTAAGCCAGCAATAGTCTTGACGATTGGTGTTTTGTAGCTTGCTATAATAAATAATGGGGTCAGTTGAGTCTCCTACTTACATACTTATTAGACTGCTCTTTTGTTTTCTTGCTTATTTTTTCCATTTTAATTGAAACTGTGTTAAAATCAGAAAATTATTTGTCTCAAATTGTCATATGTTACACATATGCTGGTCTTCCCGTACAAGAGCATATCTGTGGTGGATCATTTTGCAAATCTCTCAGTGGCCCCTCATCCTTCTTTACCAATGGGGTTCAACTCTCTTTGTACCATTCAGTGGCTAAGTGAAAGTTGTGCAGAGGCTTCTCTTTAGGCTGACCTAGTTTCACTCTGCCTCTAACTTTCTGTGAGGCCAATAAAGTTTCGGAGGCCTGGGCTTGGTCCCTTTCTTGGTGACATCCAAAACATAGAAGACAGCTTTCTGAAAATCAGGTGCTTCTATTTGGTAGAGTCAGTATCACTCCATCCACTCCTGCTCACCCATTTTTGTCCTTCTGCTACCATCCCTAAAGCTCTTGGGTTTCAGGAGATGCTCAGAAAAGCTTAAAAAAAAAAAGGAAAAAAAATCAGGGAGTTGGGGAAGGTCGGAGTTGCACTCACATTTTCCCGCTCTGGGAAGCAGATGATTAGATTTTCAACGCATCCAAAGACTTTTCAAGCAGACTTTTCAACCACCTTGAATCACTTGGCGTTAGTTTACATGTGTGCTGTGGACTGGATTGTGTTTGCCCCGAATTCCTGTGTTGAAGCCTAGCCTTGCTCATCATCAAGGGCTGCCACGACACTGTATCATGGGCTTGGTGGCTTCAACAAGAGAAACGTATTTCTCACACTGCTGGAGTTGGGAAGTCTGTGATCAAGGTGCGAGTGTGAGCAGGTTCTGGTGAATGCTCTCTTGTGGCTTGTAGGTGGTTGCCCGCTTGCTTAGCCACACAGGGTGCAGGGGTGGAGAGAGGGATGGAGGGAGAGAGAGCTTGAGCTGTCTGGTGTCTCTTTTTTAAGGGCACTAATCACATCGTGAGGTCCCCACCCTCATGCCTTCATTTAAACCTAATTACTTCCCAAAGGCCTCATCTTCAAATATCATCACATTGGGGATTAGGGCTTCAAAGTACGAATTTAAAGGGGATACAGTAAGCCCTGACACTCAATTGGTCTGTATTTGGATATAAGGCCTACAAGGAGTTAGTATAGGTTAAAAGAGGTCATAAGGATAGAGTCCTGATCCAATAGGATTATTATCTTTATAAGAAGAGACATGATGGGGTCCTCGTGGGCTCAGGCGGTTAAGCGCCCGACTCTTGGTTTCGGCTCAGGTCATGATCTCATGGTTTCATGAGTTGAAGCTCCATGTCAGACTCTGTGCTGGTGGCATGGAACCTACTTTGTATCCTCATGCTATCTCTGTCTTTCTCAAAAATGAATAAACTTTTTTTTTTTTAAAAAAAGGAGAGACACGGGAGAGTTTGATCTCTACACACACACAGTGGCACATACACACACCCACACATGGAAGAAAGGACACGGTGAGGAAGCCCTCAGCCCTCAGCTAAGCTCCTGTTGCTGTAGCTGGCAGTTGAGGGTGGAGGAGGGGGTCATCTGCTGGGGGTAGAATAGTCTTCCCAGGCTGAGGAGAGACTAAAGAACAGGGACAGGGGTATGTCTAAAGGTATAAAACCTAGAACTGGCTCTCCACAACCACTAAATGGCAGTAGACTATTTTTTTTATTTTAAATATTTTTTTAAATGTTTTATTTTATTTCTAGGGGAGAGAGAGAGAGAGAGAGAGAGAGAGACAGCGTGAGCAGGGGAGGGTCAGAGAGAGAGGGAGTCACAGACTGAAACAGGCTCCAGGCTCTGAGCTGGCAGTCAGCACAGAGCCCGACGCGGGGCTCGAACCCACGAACCGCGAGATCATGACCTAAGCGAAAGTCGGATGCTTAACCGACTAAGCCACCCAGGCGCCCCGGCAGTAGACTATTTAAAAACAACATTGCAGGCCGCTGGGTGGCTCCGTTGGCTGAGTGTCTGACTCTTGATTTCAGCTCAGGTCATGATCCCAGGGTTGTAAGATTGAGCCCCAAGTTGGGCTCTGTGCTGAGCATCTGTCTGCTTGGGATTCTCTCTCCCCCTCTTTCTGCCCCTCTCTTACTCATGGGCACTCTCTATCTCGAAAATAAATAAATATTTTTAAAAAACAAAAATAAAACAACACTGCAGTGTATACATATGTCCAAATTCGTCAAAATGTATACTTCAAATATGTGCATTTTTTATGGTTACACATACTTCTGTGAAACTGAAGGAAAGAAAACAGAGTTTTGGGTACACTGGTACATTTGCTAAGCTTTGGTGAATTAATCCTATGGTAAGTTGATCCTTCAGAGAATGGCCCACTTGTTTACTTGGTCATTCTGTGACTTGGCTTTTGGTACAGTGGCTCTCGATGAATTGACTTGGAGCCCAATCTGTGACTTCTAACACCAAGCAAATGACACAGCATCTTTATCCACTGAAAGATCCTTATTAGAACTTCACGGAAACTGGTGCTTTATCATGAGAATCCTGGGATTTTATGGTCACCTAACTGGGGACAAATCACTCTTGAGTTTCCCTTTCCGTGGCCTTTCCCAGTCCCTTCCTCCCTTGGCCTCCCTAACAATGGGCCGGCTGGGCACAGTGGGCAGGGACCGTCAGGGCTGTGGCAAAGTCTGGGGTCCAGGCGATCAGTGGGGGGAAGGCACTGCAGGGCCTTGCTGTGCGCCACCGCACCCCTGACCTAACAGTCCCTGATGCCCAAGGGACCGGATGTTTGCTGGGAGCAGCTACAGGAGCCCTGGAAGAAGTCTTTCAGCCTGTGTTCCCCGGACTTCGCAGAAGGGGAGTCTGTGGGTGCTGCTGTAGGAACCGGCTTCAGCCAGTGGGAAGTAGAGCCGAAACATCTCTGCCTGCTCCCGCTCTGCCGAGGAGGGGAAAATGGGAGACCGCTGAGGGAGTGAGAGGACGGTCAGTCCTAGAATCTGACCTCAGTAACAGGACCAGTCTCCAGTATTCATATCCTGTTTCTTTCCAGCAGGAGGTGAGTGTGTGGGGCTGTGCCGAGATGAAGACAGAGGATCAGCCTCATGGCTGGTATGTATCAGGGTCCTTCCTGTTCGCCGGGCACCGGGTTAGGGGCTCAGTGTGTGTTAGGCCATTTACTTCTCACAACAGACATCAGTAGCTTCATATTAAATTTCAGACAACAGGGATGAAGAGCGCTAACTTGGCCAAGACTCGAACCCAGAGCTTCTGTGTTTTTGCCTGGTTATTCCTAGATTCTGAGATCAGGGCCCCTGTTGCACGCTTGACCATTTCCTTTAACGACGGGGGCACCTGGCTGGCTCAGTTGATAGAGCATGCGACACTTGCTCCTTGGGATCATGAGTTCAAGCCCTGCGTTGTGCACGGAGACTACTTTAAAAAACAACAACAACAAAGTCTGTTTTTAAAAAATGTGTATTTATTTTGAGAAAGAGAGAGAGAGAGAATCCCAAGCAGGCTCTGCGCCATCAGCCCAGAGCCCAGTGTGGGACTCAATCTCACAAATCGTGAGATTGTGACCTGAGCCGAAATCAAGAGTTAGACACTTAACTGATTAGCCACCTAGGTGCCCCCCAAAAGTGAAGTCTATTTTTTAAAAAAACCTTAAAGATACTTTTTATGAAACACAGGAGAAGAGAGTATACTGTAATGATTATCAGTGCAGAATCAGGAGTAGTTTGCATAGCGCTTTTTTTTTTTTTTTTAGTACATTCCGTGCCCAGCACGGAGCCCACTGCGGGGCTTGAACTCACAACCCTGAGATCAAGACCTGAGCTGAGATCAAGAGTCAGACGCTTAACTGACCCAGCCACCCAGGCGCCCCATATGTAGTGCTTATTTTTCCCCCCAAATTTCCTTGCCTATAAAATGGAGATAGCAGTAATGCCTATTGAGTAGGATTTTTCTGAGGATTAAATCAAATAATTCATTATAAGATTGAGAACAGTACCAGGTACATTGTAGCCTTTCTCTTTGAGGTTTCAATGTTTCTTCCTGTTGTTTGTTAGTATTAGTAGTAGGAGTATAACTGATATTCTTTTAAATGGTCTTTGTTGGCGAAATAAAAAGATCACGATTTATGTCAGAACCCGGTTTATCATTCAGTCCGTGGAATCTCCAAGGCTGGGAGCCCCTGCCCTTAACCACCGTGCTTTGTATGTGGAGCGATGGAGTTCTCATGTGGAACAGGTGCCTGGTCACGGTCCCCACAAAGAAAGGAGAGTACTTTGCTAAATGTCCTCTCTATTCAGGAAGCAGTGCTGAGCTTGCTGCCTGGAAGACGCCACACACCCCCGGGACCAGGACCGTGGCGCAGAGACTGTGCTGCTGAGGCGGCCTAGAGAGGTGAGACGTGGGAGCGAGTGGGAGGAAGTGTGGATGGCAGTGTGGCTTCCCGGGGCGAAGACATACTTGGGACTCAGAGGGTTTCCGACCACAGATCTGCCACCCACTGGCTCGGTGACTACAGCAATCTGAGGCGTCCTCTATAACACAGATTTTTTTTTTAATGTTTATTTTTGAGACAGAAACAGAGCATGAGTTGGGGAGGGACAGAGAGAGAGGGAGACACAGAATCCAAAGCAGGCTTCAGGCTCTGAGCTCACAGCTCAGAGGGCAGGGCTTGAACCCATGAACTGTGGGATCATGCCTTGAGCCGAAGTCGGACGCTTAACCAACTGAGCCACCCAGGCGCCCCTGTAGCATGGATCTTAATAGGAGTTCACAAGGCTGTAAACAAGGTGAAATGAAGATGGATTCGTGCCGAGCGCCCAGAACAAGGGCTGGCTTGCTGTGGGTCTTTGGTAAACATTAGGTCGCCTAGTCATGATGGTGAAGAGATGGACCACAGCAGGCAGCATAAAGAAGCCGGGACGTTGGAAAGAGCCCACGTTGGAACCAGAACGCTTGTATAAACACTTTGCTGTCATCCTCCAATAATGCCCGTGGCTTCTGCTGCCACCTCCTAACACATGGGCCAGGTGCCCCGTGGGATCCCCTGACTCTTGCAGATGACTTGCGACCATGTTATAGAAGCATTTGGGTTCCAACGTGGACCACTGGTCCTTCTCTTTAGCTCCCAACACCCTGGCCGAAATTGGTGGGTGGGTCCAATTAAACCGAAAGAGGGACTGTGAGAAAGCAGGGGAAGCGGTTCCCTCGCTACCATTCACTATTCTCTGATGCTGGGACCAGAAGTTGTCAGAGCCTGCAAACCGAGTCGCACCCAGTGACTGTAGATCTAAGCAGGGCCCTGGTGCCAGCGGACAACCCGCTGTGCATTGTGTTGTCGAGACGTCGTCTTCTACTAAGAATGTAAGAGCTCTTTGAGATTGCTGTGTCCAGTGGCCTGAGGAGACCTTAGTAACTTAACCAGTTTGGCTCCGTGATGAAAGAGGTAATCTCGGGAACCTGTATGAGGGGAAGTGGCTCGTAGCAAGGTGCATCACTACAGACCCCTTCCCCCAGAGCGCCGCACCGGTATCCACTTTGCCTAAAGAGGAAGTAGAAGGGAGAGACAAGAGGGCAGGAATTCCGGAGACCCTCTTCTTCCTCAGCCGGTACTCTTTGGACTCTGACCGACTTGGCCCACACATGATGAGTACTCTGTTAATAAACTCATCGGGAGCAGCCTTGCAGAAGCCGTGGAGGCCCTGTGACCCACCCTGGTCGTTTCTGGCTTCGCAGAGGGTACAGGAGCGGTATATGATGAGATTGTTCACCAGACACAGATTTTTAGGTTTGTTCATGTTGCTCCCGCTGGTTATTGCAGCCAGTTAAACCCCCACACAGTGCTCGCTTTGGCAGCACATAAACTGAAATCGAAACTGTACAGAGACTAGCATGGCCCCTGTGCAAGGATGACACGCAAATTCGTGAAGCGTTCCATATTTTTTCAGTTAGTCAGAGAAATACAAATATCGTATGACTTCACTCGTAGGAGGACTTTAAGACACAAAACAGATGAACATAAGGGAAGGGAAGCAAAAACAATATAAAAACAGGAAGGGGGACAAAACATAAGAGACTCTTAAATATGGAGAACAGACAGAGGGTTGCTGGAGGGGTTGTGGGAGGAGGGCTGGGCTAAATGGGTGAGGGGCATTAAGGCATCTACTCCTGACATCATTGTTGCACCATATGCTACATAACTTGGATGTAAATTAAACAATACATTAATTTGTTAATTAAAAAAAACCCTCCACCCAATTAAACCTCAAAATGTGGTTAGGCCACTTGGTCAGCAACACAGTCTGGATCTTTACTGAGAAATGTCTGGGCACTGAAAAAGTGGCTGCTGCAAAAATAGCAAGAGCTTTTTCCAAAGACAGCTCTGGGCCCGGTCACTCAGTCCTCAAAGGAGGGCTCCAGGAGGGCTCCCCACTCAGTCCTCTAAGGAGGAGATTGGTGTGCTCCCCACTAAGGACCTCTGGGCTGGTACCAGGTCCTGGGGGACTTGATAGATGGCCCCACTGTGGTCTGCATGGTGATAGCCCTCTGCCTCTCCTGGTGAATGGTGAGAATCAGAGAGCCCCAGCGTCTCAGTGTCTTAGTTCAGGACACAAGTACTGTCCTGCCATTGGGCTCTGGTGGATACCGAGTACATGATCAGTGGCTGTGAAGTAATCTTAAGATCAGAAATCCTACTCGTATCACAGATCCTGCAGATGTGTCAAATCACCTGGTGGAGGTGGTTCCAGAGTCTTCCGTACTAAAATATAAGTGGTCCACACCGGAATGAACAAAACTCAGCCCACATGAGGTCTCCTAACTCCACTAACTTTCCACGAAAAGATCAGATGAGCGTCTGTCTGATTCCCTGACGTATTGCCCAAGGAGCTGCTGCCACTGGCCCAGTGAGGACCCACGTATGAAGGCTTCCTGGACCACAGACAGGCCTGGCTCACTGTCCGCTCCTCCTGGTTAACTGCTGCTCAGCAGGAACAGGCTACAGCTGCCACCCCAGCTGAGGGGGACCTCTCCCCTGGCCAGGTGCGGTAAGAGGCCCTCAGTGTAACGGGCAGTGCTTCAGGCCGCCTCAACAAAGGAGGCTTCGGTATTTCCACCAACTGACGGACGGTGGCTAATGGCCTCGACATTTTTTCAGGCCTCTGGCAAGACGCAAATTGACGTGTGGAACAAGCCTCCCTGTGGGGACGAGGCATTTGGGTAAAAATCAGTTCTGCTTCTTGGGACTCATGTGGATGCTTGCCAGAAAGTCCCCTACGCCAACAAGGGGAACGTCACAAAGGAGCAGACTGTGCTTGTCAACTAAGCATGGCGGCCGAAGTGTCTCATTTACCCCAGAGGGAGCAGATGTGCCTCCGGGGTCCACAAGAGGATGGCCAAGAGGGAATTCAGTGTAGGGTAGGAATAAGGCTTTCTCTGCCCTTCAAGGTCTTCCAGCGGGACTAACCTAAATTTACATGGGACAGATTAATAGGAGAAACAGCCAGTGTCATGTGGGCCCAGAGGCCCAGTGATGAAATGGAGACATCAGGAAATGACCAAGGCAGGCAGTATTTATACTATTTAGACAAAGAGACAAGAAACTTGTGAAGAATTGACAGGATAAAGAAAGCAGGTGTTCAGGAGCTTTAATTAGTAGGGAAATCCAAGTGGAATTTAGGCTGAGGTAGTAGATTAGGAAGAAACCCCAAGGTTTGTTTCTACAGCTTTCTCTGCTCTGAAGTCCCTATCTCAGGTCATAACAATGTTTTTTTGTTTTTGTTTTTGTTTTTTTGTTTTTGTTTTGATTTTTACCTCTTAGAACAAGGAGGGTATTTTTCATAGGGGAGATTTGTTTCCTGCTTTCTTGGGGACAGGATGGTCTGAGTGTCCTCACATCGAATGTTTCTTAACTTTTCAAAAAAATTTTTTAATGTTTATTTATTTTTGAGAGGGAGAGAGCATGAGCTGGGGAAGGGCAGAGGGAGACCCAGAATCCGAAGCAGGCTCCAGGCTCTGAGCTGTCAGCACAGAGCCCGATGTGGGGCTTGAACTCATAGACCGCGAGATCATGACCTGAGCTGAAGTCAGACGCTTAACTGACTGAGCCACTCAAGCGCCTCTGTTTCTTAACTTTTATCTCATTTATCAATATGCCAAAGTGGCACATTTTCGGTGGCCTGTCCTTGGCCCCACATCAGAAACCATCCTCGACTGGGCCTACGTGTGTGGACTGCCTCTGCTGTCTGTAGAAGACATAGGGAAGAAGCTCCTTGATGTCGGTTCTGACAGTGATTTATTGGACACGATGCTGTCTCAGGATTCTCACACCGAGGCTTTTCTTTCCAGGAAGCAACTTTATTTTGCTGACACCACTCAGCTGGGTTGGTACCCAAAGAACTGAGCCCCGAACGCCAGGTGGTGTCATTTTTTATGTTTTTTACTTCGTTGTCTCCCACGTATGGGAACATATAAACCTGTAGTCTGATTTAGTGGTCTCATGTTACAAGGTCATGAGGGACGTTGTCACATATGCGTATAGCCAGGTTGCATTGAGGTTTGTTTGTTTTTTTTCCTTAGGGAGAGGGCCCTACCACATTCTGCTCTTTGATGTTCAGACCCCTCTATTTTGGGTCAAAGAGCACCATCTTGGTTTAGAGGTTTATATTTTTATAACATTACATGAATGGCCGTCTTTTTTTTAAAATTCCAGCCTCAGTGAGACTGGAGACAGACTGTACAACCAGGGGAGCTAAGCAAGGTAGGATTAAGCACCCTCCCAGAATTAGGATAATTTTTATGAGAGTTTTGAACCCCTCAAAAGTTGAAAAACATCTTCCAAATAACTTCCCGGGGTTTTAACCATTCCAGCTCTGGATGGGGACATGGGCAGTTGTTTTCATTTGATTTGTGATCTCATCTATGACTTTTTAAAAAATTATTATCTATCTGTTGGCAGCAGTTGCTTAAGTTAAAGTTTTTACAAACTCCTCCCTCAGGAGCCAGCAGGTAATCTAAGGCGAAGCGATTTTGATAGATAGCATTGTGCATTTTGGCTTGCTGCTTGCTTAGTAAGGTAAGAGTCCTGGCGGTTTTATTGGTTATAATTTTTATAACTGCTTGCAGCCTGGTTATGCGGTTTAGCATGTAAATGGGAGTGCGGTGGCCCTAGGACCCATCCTCTGCCCAGGTGACGGGGCCATAATATTGGATTATATGCTTGGGAGGCCACTCATCATCTTTTTCATTGCCAATTTGTAAGCACACCGCTTTTTTTGAGTCTCCTTGTCCCCATACACTTGGAATCCCAGATATTTCCCTCTGGCAAGCGGGAGCAGGAAGAAAGATGGACAGATACTTCCTAGCACACATGACCGTGACCAGCCTGGGTGGAGCACTGGATAGGCTGTGCTTCCACATATCCAGTACAGCCCACCTGGGGCCTGCCATTCGATGGCTGCGTCGACATTCTCCCAGGCCTCTTAGAGATGAGGGAGGTTAGACAATGGGTGGGGATCTGGCTCAAGGCGATCTGGGGCCCCCCACCATTTGGCTTTCCGGGTGGTTGAGTTATAAAAATCTTTGGCCTAGGCATGTTAAGTTTTTAACAGAGATGACGATGAACTTTTTCCCCACTGGGCAAGACCATTCTTCCCAATAATTGAGCTTTGAAGGAGCCAAACCCCAGGAGTAGGACTGGGGTATTTTGTTTTACTATAAAGTTTGTGGGGATCTAATTTTCTAGTCTCTTATGGCCATTGTTTCCCCATGTTGGTACCAGCGAAGCATTCTGGCCACAAAGGGAAGGTGCGTGTGAGAAGCCCCTCACCACAGTCCCAGCCGGCCGGGGCGGCCTCGGCCAATCCTACAGCAAAGAGTAGAGCCAGAATCACAATAAAGGCGAGAAACAAGGGGTGACAGTGCATCACAATAAGGACACAGATGTAGAAAACAAAGAGAGTCCATTTGTTCCACCGGCCCAGCGAGTCCTCAAACTCCTTCCAGGCATAGATGAGTCCACTTCCGGGGTGACTCCGGCAGGGCCCGTGGTCTCACAGAGCCTCTGCAGTCGCAGATCGCACCTTCCGTGTGGGCAGCTCGCCCGGCGTGGACGGACCAGGAATGCGCTCCCGGTTCCCAGACGCCGGCTTCACTCTGCTGTGGTGAATCCGGGGACCCACCTCAGCCACCTTTACTGCAGTAGGGGGGGACAAAATGACAGTGAACAGGCCCCTCCAGAGGAGTTGGAGGGGTCGGACATTCCACTCCTTCACCCATACAGCGTCTCCTGATTTAAAGGAGTGAGCGCTGTGGTCAGACTCACAGACAATCGCTCCCTAACCCAGTGGTGTAAGGCGGTTAGGGTAGAGCCAAGGGCCCGCATCTGTTGTCTTAGGGTTAGACTGTCTATCTCATTTAAATCCCCCTTATGCCCTTGATAATGGGAGGGCGCCCATTAAGGATCTCATAAGGGGAGAGCCCTATCTACTTCCTTAGCCTCCTACCTGCAGCTGCAGTCTGCCTCCTTAGAGGTCCCTTATCTCTCCTTGCCTAATGTTATCCCTCTTCCTATTTATTTCTCCCCTGGAACAGGGCCTGTAACTGCTCTTTGGGAGCAGGGACGATGACCGTTCTGGCTTCTTCATGCTGATAAGGGATGGTGCAGGGGTACAGCAGGCAGAGTCTACCCCAGGGTCGGGCCAGTGGCCCACAGTGTGGTTCTGCCAGAAGGTTGGCAGGCATGAGGCGGCATAGACATTAGCAGACACACAGAGAAAAATACGAAATAAAGATTATACCGACCAACAGGATGGTATCTTAAGATAATGTTCCCAGGTTCCAAACTTGTCAAACAACCTAGGAGAGACCCTGACATTGAATCAGCATACATCAGGGAATCTCTCATAACCCAGGTGACAGAGGAGCAGGAGCAGTAAGTAATCGGTG